GAGAGAGAACGGTGTAAGGGACCACGGGGTGTAGGTGGAGAGAGGACAGTGTACGGGACCACGGGGTGTAGGTGGAGAGAAAAAGGTGTGAGGGACCACGGGGTGTAGGTGGAGGGAGGATGGTGTATGGGACCATGGGGTGTAGGTGGAGAGAGGACGGTGTACGGGAACACGGGGTGTAGGTGGAGAGAGGACGGTGTACGGGACCATGGGGTGTAGGTGGAGAGAGGACGGTGTACGGGAACACGGGGTGTAGGTGGAGAGAGGACGGTGTATGGGACCACGGGGTGTAGGTGGAGAGAGGATGGTGTACGGGACCACGGGGTGTAGGTGGAGAGAGGACTGTGTACGGGACCACGAGGTGTAGGTGGAGAGAGGACGGTGTACGGGACCATGGGGTGTAGGTGGAGAGGGATACGGGACCCCTCGGACCCAGCACAGAACCCCAGCATTGGCCAGCAGCCATGAGCATTGTTCTAGTCTCCACCCCCAAGCTCCCACAAACTGGAACGGTATGGGGCAAATCCAACAAGATGTTATTTCACCGACTGTGTATTTCTAATCAATAAGGATTTTAAGAACATAACAGTGGCAGCGTTAGTACTCAGAGCAACGTGAACAATCCCTCAGTGCTTTGTAACACCCCACCTGACTCAGATTCTTCCATTGTCTTAGAAATATTTTACAGTTGGGCTGTGGAGTGGGGGACTGCTGGGGGACTGTGACCACAGGAGGGGCAGGTACGTACTTTCCTTCAGAGCCGCCGATGGTGGAGGCTGGCATTGGCCTCGTGCCCACGTGACATTTGGATGCATGGTTGCCTTATCCCCCAAGAGCGTAAGCTTCCAGAGAGCAGGGGCCTGGCCTCTTTCTGCCACCTGGCCACCAACCTCAGGCCCACCCAGGCCAGGGATTAAATTAACATGTGGTAGAAAAATGAATTAGTGAGTCAATGAATGAATGAATGAATGCCAAGGCCAATCCACTGATGCGTCAGAGGTCGGGAGGAACATGTGTTTGATGGCTCCACCTACTCCCGCTGGCCTCCCTGCCCCTCAGGCGATAGTTGGGGTCCCTGACTGCCTCACTCAGTCTGCAGTCCACACTCCAGGGCGGCAGACCCCGTCAGAGGCCACCCCCAGATGAGAGAGCCGCAGCCAGAGCGGTGGCAGGGCTGGGCTGGGGCAGGGTTGCCCGTGGGGCTTGTCTGTTCCACGTTGACAGTGGGCCGCGCTGGCCCCGGGTACAGGCGAGCACAGCAGAGGCTGCCCAGGCCCTGGTGGGCCGCACGGGGACCCCCCCTGCTGGCTTCCGCCATCCAAGAGTCTGTGTGTGAGCTTGTGTCGGGGGTGGTGACTGTGAGAGTCACGTCAAGAAAGACACAAGTCTGGGGGTGAGGGGTGTCGGTCCCTGAGAAACGGTTCCTCCGAGACCCCGGAGCTGGCAGAGACCAGTTCGTGGAGACTCGAGAGCCAGGCCACGGACTCCGGGCTTCAACCCCCGGATGACTGGGAGCCAGAGACGGTGTTTGAGCAGCCGTAATCTGGCGAACACTCCTTACAGGAGGTCCCAGTCTAAACCAGGAAGATTGTCCCTCGGGATGGGGTTGACACCCCTTTTCCTGAGGCCCTGGCCGGAGTCCACGCCTCCCGTGCCGTCGGGCTAACCCAGCTGCATTCCAGCGGCCTTGTTCTGTGGAACGCAGCTTCCCCTGCCATCCCCACCCGAGGCAGACAGGAATACTTGCTTGAAGTCGGTGCATCCAGTGTGACTCAAAGAATGTGACCAAGAAGAAAATACTCCAAATGTTTACTAAAAAAAAAAAAAAGCTGTCTTTTCCCCTCTTTCATCTGAGTTGCCCAGAGGAATACAGCTGCAGCTGAAAGAAATGCAGCTTTCTGCTCATGATGGATGGACTTGCAGGAGGAGGGCAGGTGGAGGAGGAAGAGGGGCGGGGGCAGCGGGAGAGCAGGGGCGGTGCTGTCAGCCCCCAGCCTGCAGCCCCCTCCCAGGGCGGCGCTCACACCTCGCGTCTCCTGTGTATGTTCTGTGAGGGCAGTGTCCACGGCTGCCTGTCCGCTGGCTTCCACGTTGTCTTAGGTCAACGTCCTTGGAAAGGCCCGCTGCATGTAGGGCATTTCCCAGGAAGTGGGAGCAAAGCTGGGCTGTGATGCAGCAGCTACAGAGGCTTCAGCTGGTCCGATGAGTGGGTCTGGGCTGGACTGGCCCTTTAGAGTTGTCCCCAGCATCGACCAGTGGATTGGCCTGGCCCAGGGCACACCGGCCGAATGCAGCCGTGCCCCTTCCAGGTGGGTCTGGCCAGTGGAAGGCACTGGAGGGAGTCCTGAGGGCAGAGCAAAGTGGCCTGGGCCAGGCCACTCACTCCTGGGGCTGCCCTGATGCGGGGCCGTGACCGCGGGTGAGGCTGCTCCCGTGATGGGAGGACGGTTCCAGGAGGGATGCGGCTGAGGGTGTCAGCGGCTGACACTCCGGGCAGCCAGGCAGCGAGTGCGTGGTCCTGGAGGAGGACCTGGGGGGGGGGGCACCATGGCGTCCACAGCACTATCCAGTCCTGTGACCGTGGCCTGGGGGAGCAACGCCATCCCGGCACACCTGCCTTCCTTCTGTTCAGCTGCATTCCGTAGTGCTACAGCCAGACTGCCTGGGTTCACATACCGGCCCCGCACTTCCCATCTGTGGCCCCTGGCGCCTCAGATTCCTCACCTGTGAAATGGGGATGGTGAGGATAAATCTGCCTCATAGGGTGGCTGTGCGGATTCAGCGAGTTGCTGTCTGTTAAGAGCCTGGCATGCCAGTGGATGCTGTCAGTGGCTTTTATTGGAGCTGGGCACCGTTCCTGCCCTCGTGGGGCTCACGGCCTGGCGGGAGGGATGGGTGTGCAGACAGGAAGTTATGACACAGGGCAGTTTGGCATGGAGCAAGCATGGGCCTCTGTGTGAGCAGCTGTCTCTGCTCTTATCCAAGAACGCAGGGAGTTCATGCAGTGCCGTCAGTAATCTAACCGCCGTAATAGCGCGGCTGCCCTCCCTGAGGGCCCCTCCGGCTGGGCACCACGCCTTTGGCCACTGGGCCCTGATGCTACCACCACTGGATGTGTTCTGTTGAACAAGGAGACACAACCGAGGCCAGTGGAGGGGTGGCGCTCACCCAGTGTCCCAGCCGGGGTCTGGTCAGTGGCACAGTTGGGATCACGGAAGGAACTTGAACGAAGGGGTTACTTACGGGGCATACGCAGCATCCAGGCTGTCCTCCGAGGGGTGCTGCAGCACCTGGGGCTGGCAGCCGTGGGGAGCTCGTACTGCCTGGGCCCTGTGGGGCAGAGAGAGGAGCTGTGGACTGGAGGGCGAGCAGCTGGAGGAGAGGGGCCACCTGGCGGGAGCTGTGGCCCCAGATAGAGGAACGGGTTAACGGCCACCACGTGGCCCTACAGAGAGGGGATCCAGGAAAGAGATGTCCCTGCCCCTCTCCTCCTGCCGTCCAGTCTCTTGCAGGACTCCCCACTCCCTGCTCCCCACTGCTGGCTGGGCCTGACCAGACGCTGGAGGACAGGAAGCCTGTGGGCGCAGGGTACACAGGTGAGCCTCCAGGGCCGGAGAAGGGGGCACAGAGGTGCCCAGCACATCCAGGCCCTCAGCCTTGACTCCAGCATGGCCCCCACCTTGTGGGGCTCCTTAGGCAGATGGCATGAGGGGCCCAGCACAGGGCATGGCCATAGCACGTGCACAGCGAGGGACACCTTGTGTCACACACAGAGGACGAAGGACCAGTGCTGGCCTCTGTTGTTGCAGGTGGTTTGGGTCACGTGCAGCTTGGAGACAAGAAACACGGGCAGCTGGGGCCTGGAGCCCTGGAAGAGGAAAGTAGCGGGACGCGGGGACCATCCTCCTGCCCGCGTCCCCTGAGTCTAGCCCAGGCAGGACCTTCTGTGGAAACCACACAGCCCCGGAGGAGGAGGCCTCGGCACCCAACAGATCTGCCTCCTGCTCTCTGTGTTCTCCCTGCCGGTGCCGCCTCTCCCAGGTGGCCTGGCTGCCTCGGGTCGGGTGGGGAGTGGGTTTGGAGAAGGTTCGGGAGCCAGGTCTCCTGCTGGGGGAGGGTGGCTGGGAGCTGAGAGCCGGAGAAGGCACAGCGGCAACACGGACGGGCAAGGATGCTGCCGGGAGTGGGGCAGATGGGGTGAGGGAGGAGGAGGTGACCGTGGAGGCTCTCCCGTGCAGGTGGCAGCAGCGCAGACGCGCCGCAGGAGCTGGGGGTGCGGGTCACAACCGGACAGGCATCTGCGTGTGGGAGGAGGCAGGAGGCAGGGCGACGGGCCGAGCTGCTTCAGGGGGCCCACTGGCCACTCACGGTGGCCCTGGGGGGACGGTCACTTCCTCGTGTCTCTGCACTACCGCACTACCCAGAGGTCAACTCCCACCCGGCAACGTCTGGGAGAATGTGCCCTCCTTGTCCTTCTGTGTCACTGTCTTCTCTCTTGGAAATCCCCCTCCGGCGCCTTCATTGTACAGGCAGGGGAAACTGGGGCCCAGAGAAGGAAAGGGGCTTGCCCGCAGCCACACAGCAATGTGGAGGCAGAAGCAGAACCAGCGCCTGCCAGCTCCTTTCACCCCATAACCCTGCCCCCGGCCCCTCCAGCACCACGCCACACTCACCCCGGCACCCCCAGCATTCGTTGTGTGGAAACGGGAAGAACTCACGGGTTAGGGGCCTATAGTGTGAGATGTGCCACACCAGGCCCTGATAGCCCTTCTCTCCTTAATCCCCACCATTTCTTCTGAGGAAAGAATTGCTCCTACTTTACAACAAGGAGCAGACCACTGAAGAGGCTTGGGTGCCAAGTAACAGAATGCTTAACCAGATGTGGCTTCATTGATAGGAGCTGGCTTTTTCTTGCAAAATGAAAATCTGGATGTAGTTTCTTTCAGACGTTCAACAATCTCTTTGAGGCCCAAGCTGTTTCCCATCCTCCCGTCTGCAGATTGTCACCTTGTTGGCCTCTGGTTCTCTTGCCTCGGCATCACAATATGGCTGTCTAAGCTCCCAGAACCACGCTTTCACACCACAGCATACAAAGACGGAAAACAAGAAGTTGCTCTCTCAGGTCTCTCTTTTTATCAGGTAGTTCCTGTGTTTTCAGCCTCTGTGGTCGGCAGCAGGCAAGCTGTGGTTAGGCCGTGGAGGGCCAGACGGGAGGTGTGCCCTGTTCCCTCTGGCGAGTTCTCCTATCACCAGCGTGTGGTGGCCACAGGTGGGATTCGAAGCAGGTTCTTGGGCTGCCTGGCTCTGACACTGGTGCCTTCTCCCCTGCTTCAGGCTGCCTTTTGTCAGTGTGCTGCCATGTTGAGACTGATTCTGACTGCCTGGGTCACTGCTCACCAGCTGGGGTGCACACTGCCCAGAACTGACCTCTCCCTGCAGAAGAGTCAGGCTGGCCAACAGTGGGGGCCTCAGACGGACAGAGCAGCAGATGCCCAGCTAACCCACAGCCTCCACCTTCAGGGCCTGGTCTCCCCAAGGCCCTCAGATCTGCTTCCTGCTGTGACTTCAAACCCGTGAACTAAGGACTGGCTATTGGGTCTATGTAAAACATCTTACTGCACAGACGAAAGGACCTCTGGGACAGTTAGGACATTTTAATCCATAAAGGACAGAAACCCAACTCAAGCCAGCTTAAAAACAAAGGAAATTCGTTAGTTCATGGAACCAAATGGTCCTGCGTTAATGGATTCAGGGCCAGCTTGATCCAGGGTACAAATGATACTCCCAGGAACCAAGTCCACACACCCCTCATTCTCTATTTCTCAGCTCTGCTTTCTTAGTTAGACCCACATGGTTGCGAGATGCCTGTCCATAGCTGTCCACAGCTCTGCCCTCGGTATCCCATCCTGTTCCTCTGGCAGGAAATTACCAATAGTTCTTGACTCCTCTTCACACCAAATCCCCAGGACTCACTCTGATTGGTCCTGACTTGCCTGAGTCACCAGCTCATACCTAGCAATGACCAGAGGGAACTGGGAGTGATGACCGGTGGGATCTGGACGTGATGACCGGTGGGAACTGGCAGTGATGACCGGTGGGACTAGGGGTGATGACCCGTGGGATCTGGGAGTGATGACCCGTGGGAACTGGGGGTGATGACCCATGGGAACTGGGGGTGATGACCCGTGGGATCTAGGGGTGATGACCGGTGGGAACTGCGGGTGATGACTGGGGGGAACTGGTGGTGATGACGAGTGAGATCTGGGAGTGATGACCCGTGGGAACTGGGGGTGATGACCGGAGGGATCTGGGAGTGATGACCCATGGGAACTGCGGGTGATGACCCGTGGGATCTGGGGATGATGACCGGTGGGAACTGGGGGTGATGACCCGTGGGAACAGGGTGGTGACCCATGGGAACTGGGAGTGGTGACCCGTGGGAACTGGGGGTGGTGACCCGTTGGAACTGGGGGTGATGACCCGTGGGATCTGGGGGTGATGACCCGTGGGAACAGGGGGTGGTGACCCGTGGGAACAGGGGGTGATGACCCGTGGGATCTGGGGGTGATGACCGGTGGGAACTGGGAGTTGTGACCCGTGGAAACTGGGGGTGGTGACCCGTGGGATCTGAGTGATGAGCCGTATGAACTGGGGGTGATGACCCGTGGGAACTGGGGGTGATGACCGGTGGGAACTGGGAGTGGTGACCCGTGGGAACTGGGGGTGATGACCAGTGGGAACTGGGGGTGGTGACCCGTGGGATCTGGGGGTGATGACCAGGGAGATCTAGGTGTGGAGACCGGTGGGAGCTGGGAGTGGTGACCCGTGGGAACTGGGAGTGATGACCCGTAGGATCTGGGGGTGATGACCTGTGGGACTGCTTTAGCATCTGCGGCTGGGGAAAGGCTCACCGAGGAATCAGAGTTTGCAGAACTCGGAGGCCCAGCTGCGCTCCCTGTAAAACAAGGCACAAAGAGAAGGGCGTCAGGAGTGGGAGAGGTTGGGAGAGGTCCGTGCTGGAGGAGTCCTGCTGGGGCTAGGCGGGGCGCGGGCAGGGCACTCTGAGGAAGAGGTGGCTTTTGCCGAGGCCCTGGAAAGGCTGGGATGGCCTGGGCCATGCCGGGATGAATGGAGGTGCATTCCTGGAGGAGGGCAGGTAGGAGGACCGGTTGCCCTGAGGTGGGGAAATCCTCCTGGGCTGTTTTTTTCCTGGGGACTGCAGTTTGGCGGAGAGGTGAAGGGAGGCGGTGGAATTCAACATTGGCAAACAGCTTTTGGCTTTAATACTCAGATGCCTTTCAGAATGCTGTGGCAGGTGACAGAGGCTCCTGGTCCCAGGAGCAACATGTGGTGGGGACGTGTGGGAGCCAGAGGTCGCTGTCTGACCTCCCTCCCCTGAGAACCCCTCCTCCTCCAGGAAGTTCACCCCTAGATCATCTGGGCAGCCCCGAGAGTTTGGACAGCCCAGGAGGCCAACCTTGATAGTATCTGTTGGGTGTAATGAATCAGGAATCTTTCTGGAGCCAAGTTTCTCCGGAGGCCTCTCCCAGGCGTGGGAGCCCCGCCCTGGTAATTCTGGGCTCTGGGCAGCACCTGGTACATTGTTGGCACTTCCTGGGGGACCTGTCAGAAGGAGATTGATTTTCTTCCCTCCAGCGATGCAGAAAATCCTTCCTACTGCTCCAGACAGGTTTGGGGCTGGGCTGGGGGACAGAGAAGCAGGGTGAGAGCAGCCCTGCCCCACCTGGTTCAGGAATCCCCACTGCAGACCCCACACCCTCCCAGGACAGGTGCTCACCAGCACCCCCCCGCCCCCTGGTGGCCCCTCCAGTGCTGGTCAGCCTAGTGGGGACGGCTGGCATCTCACTGAGCTGGGATCTGTTGCCTATGACTTCCCTCCAGCTGGGGTCCCAGTCCTGTCCTCGGAACAGACACACAGTCCCTCCTATTCACCCTGCCCCAGGACAGGCCTGCAGAATGTATGAGGCGGTGACCAGGACCCCAGACACTGCCTTCTCTAGGCAGGACAGCTCCAGCTCCTTTAGCCTGGGCTCTCCAGTCCCTTCCCCTCCACGTGTGCTCTGTCCATCTGCTGGGGCGTAGCCCAGTTCTGGAAACGATAGAGCAAGACCATCTCCTCTGGTGTTGTGAGTGCTAGACCTCTGTTAATACGGCTTCAGATGGTTGGCTTTTTCGCAGCCTCTTTGTTCATAGTGCTCTGGTGGTCAGCTAAAGCTTTCCGTCTTTCTCAGTCTCTCCTATCTTGTGCTTCCGCGATCTTTTTTTTTTTTTTTAATACCAAAAATTATAGGTGTTCGTCCTACTTCTGGCTGTTTTCAACCACACGTTTCATTTAGTCTTTGGAAGTGACTGAATCCTGACTGGGATTATCCACTGTGGACACCCAAGCTGGCTGGGGCCAGATTTCAGTGGCACCAAAAGACCCTTCTGCTCCCCGAGAGGCCCCTTTTCCTGGCCACTCACTGTGCCCCAAATTTTCTCATCACACCCTCAACACAAGCCCTTCCCCAAGCCTGGCCCCTCCTCCGGTCCCTCGTCTCAGTGCACGGCCTCCGTGTCCATCAGAGGCCCATGAGTCACCCCTGGGCCCCGCAATCCTCCCCCACCGAGTATTGCCTTCTCTTCCCTCCACTGCACCCTCTTCATCGGAGCTGCCGTCATCTCTGGCCTGGGTGACGGGGACATTCCCTCTGGATCTCCATCCTGCCACTCTGACTCTCTGACCTAATTTCCACTCTTTTTGGCACGATCTTTCAGAGTGTCAGTCAGACCTCATCACTCCCTACACGAAAGCCCCTTGGCTCACAGGTACTCCAGGTGCATCCCTGCCCTGAGCGTCCAGCCCTGCCGCCTCCCCGCTCCATCTCCATCTCTTCTCACACGGCCCCAGTCGTGTCTCCTCCGTTCCTCTTGGGGTCGGGCTGCAGCCCTCCCACCTCTGGGCCTTGGCG